CCTAATATGCAACACCAACACGCCCTGTCCATCATTCTTGCACCAAAATCTGAGTGCACTGTTACTGCGTTTCGCTCCCGTGGAAATGCAGCTGGCGTTTGCGGGAATCGAACTCATGACCTTGATCCTAGCCTCACAGCACCTCGTCATGCTAAATTATCGGTGGGTGTTGCTTGCAAGACCTGTATACGGATAAACGCTGAGCATGAAACCGGAGCACAAATCTGTTTACACTGAGCGGCGACGAGAAGTCTACAGCCATCACCCGAATAAAATACTTGCTGGGCTCAAGTACGGTATTTCAAGTGTATTAAGCTAGCAAGCTCTACCGTTTTCCCACTACCAATGGTTCTTTCGGAAAGCCACAGTCGAATCGCGAAATGTACAGCGGTTGTTTATTTGCCGTAGTTTCTTTACAAACACGCTTTTTTTTATTGTTAGTCCGGCCATCGCGTTTGTTTCAGGTAAATAATATTTTGCAGTACTTTGCACGACAAAAAATTTTCAAGGTAACGAGACCACGGAGTACCGGCGAACTGCCATAATCCACTCTTGACGCCTTTGCTTCTCGCATCGCTCGCATTGGAAACGGTAAAACTTGAGGGGTAGTTTTGAGATCTTCATCATGCTTAAACTTTAATAGCAGCTCACAATGCAGCAGTAATGCGTGCCTGTTTTCCAGATTGACGAAAGAGCGCTGCCCATAGCGTGCAAAAGCGAGATAAGCGCTCCAAGGAACACGTTTTCCGCGCGCGCAATGGGAAAACCCACCTAGCAAGCGCGGCCCGTCCGAGCGACCGGAGCTTCGCCTTTTTTCCGCTAGGACGGCGAACAGCGCTGCGCAAACTTGAGCCTGTCCTCCCTATTGTGTTGGCTCACGACTGGTCATTTCTTATTTCAGGTATTCTGGTCAGCGCGTGTGGTCATCCGTGGTTCGATAACAAAGTTGGAAGGTGATTCCGAGAGCACGCAGACGTGGGTAGTTAGATTAATGGTAATATCTATCTATCTATCTATCTATCTATCTATCTATCTATCTATCTATCTATCTATCTATCTATCTATCTATCTATCTATCTATCTATCTATCTATCTATCTATCTATCTATCTATCTATCTATCTATCTATCTATCTATCTATCTATCTGTCTGTCTGTCTGTCTGTCTGTCTGTCTGTCTGTCTGTCTGTCTGTCTGTCTGTCTGTCTGTCTGTCTGTTTTTTGAGTGACGTTAACAATTGCCATCTCTATCGCACCTTCCATTTTCCCTACCACAGCATCACCGCGTCTATGTTTCATCCGCGTTACATCGTTATCGCAGCAGCCTGCACCTGCACCATTTCTGTATAACGCGACGAAAATATCGCAGCATGCTTCTGGCCCCTTCATACGGCACACTTAATGTCGTCGTTCACTGTGCTCCCAAGGGTGTACCCTGGACGACTTCATAGACTCCTTTTCGCGACAATCTTTTCTCCTGCTTTGTCACTAAGGCACACAAAGCTATCGATGCCAGCTGAGGTTTCTGGTCTTCCGCGCTCGTTTTTTTTTTTCTTTCATCTTCTCGGTGCCATGGTTCTCTCGTTTGAAGAGACGCAGTTCGAAACAACTCTGCGACCTGGCCACTCCAGGTCTCGGGTCAAGAGACGTTGCTGCGTGTGCGAGGCACGAGTGACTCGGCGGAAAAAGCAAACACTAGTGAAGAATGAGAGTAGAGACATAGAGAGTGTGAGAAAGAGTATTGATACGACGTCGCGGCATTTCTTGTCTCTGGGGATTATCCTTACAGCCATTGCCGCTAACTCAGCGGTTGCTCGTAGCGCCTATAAACGCTGTTTATATTTGTGTACGCCAGCTTTCCCGTTTCAGCCCCCACGCGTTTATTTTTCAAAAGGCATGGAGTTCTGCCAAAACGGGCCATTGTGCTGGTCAGAAACAATCGTTTCGAATCGTGTGTTTGGTTGAAAATATGTCTCTCGTATGAGACACAGCAACAAGTACCTCGTTGCAGACGCCTATATTTCAACCTGGCTGTCTCTTTTTTAATTCACTTGTTCATTTTTTAACAGCGAAGGTGTTCAAGCAAATTATTCCTTGTTCGATGAAGCAAACAACTACCATCATCACAAACGAGTATGTGCCACAGGAATTGGGTAAATCCCGCTACTCTCCACTGGTCAACTACAAAATGAAGGAGGCATTAGTTAGCCCAGCCACAAATGGCTGTGAATTGATGGTGGTGAGCCGAAGACCCCGAATGCGTACAACGAGAGAGTAATAGGAAGCTGATGATCGGCCTCTTTCTGTGCGGGTGCTATTACAGCAACGTTTACATGCCTCGACAGCCCACAAGGCATTGAAAGCTCTGCTGTGTTTCCTGAGAAAGACAGGCTTGTGTGAACGCCTCTGACATGTGGTAGAGTTCTACAGGCTGCAGTGAAATTACTGTCAGACTCTCCTCCACCCTTTATTTTCTTTTCCCTCTCTTCCCCAATAAAAGTTTTTCATCCATCCAATAAAAGTTTTTCATCCATCATCCAACCATCTTCTCATCCCTCTTTCTCGTCTTTCTTGTCCCGTTCCCTAATCCCCCAGTGCAGGGTAGCCAACCGGATGTCTTTCTGGTTAACATCCCTGCCTTCTCCCTTTTGTTGCTTCCTCCTCCTCCTCCTGGAAAGGCAATAGCGGCTGCAAGTAGACCGCAAATAAATCAAATGCCTACGCAAACGACCTCGTTCCCGTAGATATTTAATAAGTGCGAACACTTCTTGTCAGCGCGGGTTTCTGTCTCCGGAGCTTGGACATCAGTGCCGTGTCTATGACTGTCTGGAGTTTCACTTGAAACTCTATGTGCTGAGAATCAACGTTGAAACAAACTATCCCCTATCGATGAAGCCCAGCAACGACCTGTAGAAACAACCTTGAAACAACCTGCATCACTTGTATCACGTCTATAAACAACCTATTAGATGCAACCAGATTGGCATTGAGAATCGTTCAGTTTCCGTAAAATGAGACGTTGCTAGTATTTGGCATCACGGAAGTGGTAGGAGTGTGCGTGTCCGATAGATTGTCAAGATTTCCGGAGAGTACCTCGGAATAACTTGTATCTCCTTCTGACCACCTTTTCTTGTCACCGTGATAGCCATCTGAAGACGATTGACTGTCACTGCTTTCTTCTGCGCTGTTGTTCTCAAGGGGAGACCTCTCCCTAGGTCGTCAAGCTCTGATACCAGAGCAAGAACTGCCCTTCGTGGGGTAACTTTGCGACGATTGGCGTGTCACATAGTTACCTCGTGAAGTATCAACATATCAGTTTTATTAAACAGAAATGGCTTGATTACATTTATATTACAGGTCATTTTAGCCTAAATAATAACAATCACATGTAGATACCAGTTTTTTAAACATATATGACTTAATTACATTTATATTACAGTTTATTTTAGCCTATATATTAATAATCACAAGTACAAACCACTTTTCGCTGGTTTTCTCGTGGGGACAGGTCGAGTTCACAAATTTTACGGTGCTTCAAAGTTGCGTGCCAAAACACCATTGAACATGTCGGTGTCTAGAGTGGCTACGCTGCATGGTAACCTCGGCTGGCTGCCGCTAGCTTTTTTGGCATGTCAGGCGAGCTTTTTGAGTGCCCTATTGCTCTTCGGTGGAGCCTGGCCATGGCGCGAGATGAAAAATACAAAAACCAGAGTGCATGTCATAAAGTAACCCATGCGATCGCAAAGTAACCCATTTTACTGTATTGCTGTTACAAGCCATGCGTGCCGACGAGGACGACGATGACGACGACGATGATGATCGAAGCAAAGCAAAGCAAAGTGATGCCTCAACCATGGCTTCTATACCCTTTTACGGGGATTGGTCAAGAATGGGTCATATGAATTCTTAGGCCTTGCAAGTATTATATAGTCCTAACAAAACAAGGAAAGAATGTGATTTAAAAACTAAAAGATCACCATAATTGTATTTTACCATTATGACCAGGCAGTATGGTCTATATATTGAATATAAGTTACTGTATTGTCGAAAAAAATTAAGAAATTGTGATTTGAAATTGTTCACTAATGCTATGATAATACACTATACAACTAGGAATTAACAGGCGCATTTGTTTTCTGTCATTAAGGTAACAGCAAACGGTAATGCAAGCTTCGCCTTTTTTTTCGCTAATAAAAGCCATTGCCCACTGGTATAAACCAAAGGAGAGGCTTGGCCTTTGGACGTGTGCCGCTAGTGTCATTCACGTTGGCAGTTTAAACCATGACTATTTAGTGCTACTATTGAATCTTCTAATCTATTCTCATTTGCTTCTCAATGGCGCATTTCTTCATTTGAACACCTGTAGAAGCTGCTTGACAGAAGTGCAAAGTGACTTGAGCTCATGGCTAATTGTGTATTACGTGAGCTGGTAGTAGCCCATGTGCTGGGTTTTATTTCGTCATCAAACTCCAAATCGGGTAACACGTTACTTTGAGACGTTAAGATAAGAAAACTATGTATGTAATTAATAATACCTATTTTGGTAGACATGCAGACTAGTTGACTGACTCAATCACAATTTTCATATGTATGTAACGTTATTTGCGCGTTGTATAGCACTGCGTGGCTTTTTTCTTCTGGCCAGAACTTCCCCGGGCGAGTTTATCTGCCAGTGTCTAATGACGTAGGGGAATGTTTATTGTCGGGGTCTATGCAAACTTCAATTTATTCTTCTCTTTTCTACTATGCGCTGTTAACGCTACTTGAAATATTCTTGAATGCTTCTCATGTTCTTATGAGGCACCTGTCAGGGCGTTTTTCAAGGCAAGACGTACTATTTACAGTCCATACTTTATAAAGACGGAGGTTATGTTTGTCGAACGTAAACCATCACATTTTGCGTCTTCACAGTCAAGCGTAAAAAAGGCTTTTAAGACTGTAAGGCACACCCGTAACATTTTGTCTCAACTAATTGGCCACATATACATGCGACAAATCTCTTCACATGAAGTCGCACCGAGTCGAAGGATTCATGGCCTTTCCCGGGCCGCAGTGGAACGCCGCAGCAAACTGCGGCATATTCATGAGCGGCACATTGCAGCGGAGTCTGGGTGGCGAGTACGATCCGGCACTTTCCTTGTCTTCCGCTGAGCACCACTTGAAGCAACTACTCAGAAAGAACATCTGCTCATCCGTGAAGCTCGCAAGACTTGCAGGCGCCGCTGGTCGGGATCCGGCTTTCGCGGCCCGGAAAGCTCTGTACGCTTTGAGGAGACCTCCCGAGTCGGCAAAGTTTTCGGAGAGCGCGTAGTCTCCATGCGCGACACCCTCCGCCCACGGAATGGTGTTGTACATTCGTCGCAGGCAGTCCAGACGATTCTCGAACTCCACCCGAGACCCAGAAGTCCACCAATCCTTGCGCTGGCCGCTGCGGTCGTAGAGTCCCATCTCGGGATCGAAGGCGTGCGTCATCTCGTGACCAAGCACGTGGCCCAGGCTACCCAGGTTGTAGGACTTCGGGTAGGTCGCCACGTAAAAGGGCGGGTGCAAGATGGCCGCCGGGATCACCATTACGTGGTAGACGGGCAAGTAATATGCGTTCACCACAGTCAACGGAATGCTGATGTCGTCAGCCTTCCAGGGACCCGTTGGCGTGCAGAAAGTGCTTGGAGTGTCGTAGCTGTGCCCTCTTGACAGAGTTCATCAGATTCAGGTACGAGCCTGTGCCATTCGTCCTCGTCAGATACGGATACAGCTGCTGGAGCGCCTTGTCGGAAGCGAGAACTTCAGGCCGGCCCACGATTGCGCGAAGGGTGGAGAGCTTTTCAAACGCCCCGGCTTTCGTCTTCTCGTCCATCCAGGAGAGGGCGTTCATACTGGCGTTGGCCTCGCGACGGATGCGATCCTCCATGTCGGCAACGTCGCTCACGGCGTCGCGGGGCAGCCAACGACGAGCGAAGACGTGTGCGAAGGCGTACGGGAGCGTCGTGTCGGCGTCCGTGTAGCAACGGCCGAGCATGTAGATTGTGGCTGCCATGCGACTGCCGCCGAACTGCACCCGAACCAGCGGATGTGATGTCATGGGTCCCACAACGCGTATCACGTGCCACGTGATGTACGCGAGCAGCGGTACTACGTCCCTGGAGGCCTGGCCCATGAGCTGACCCAGGAGCATGAGAAGCTGCCAGTTCATGACGTACATCTCGCTGCTCGGCGTCAGTGGTTTGGGAAGGTGCGCGTTTACTGCCTGAACATGTAAAAGATTCATGGGTTCATTGAGAGCCTGTGCTAGCTCTAGTGCGTTACACAAAACGGAAACTGTTAACGATGCGCAAACAACCGCCGGGTCCCGCACATGACAACTAGCCGCTGTATCATTCACTGTTACTGCTTATGCTTTCCGTTATCAAGCATACGTAACGTCAGCTAATGAATTTACACAAAAATGCAAGGTGACGAGATGAACGCTTGTTTGGTTGTTTATCTTGTCTTCGTACTTTATCGCTTCTTTTCATGTGTTGGCAATAACATTACCCGAAACTTATATAGAAATTACAACTACACATGCTTCATGGTTGTGTACATCAGCGACGATTATTCATCTTGGTAGGAAACAAAAACGTGGCTTGAGAAAAAAAAAGGTGGCGAGAGATATGAAGGAGGTGCTTCTAAAAGGGTGCACTTCGTTTCACCAGACCATAAGTGCAATTACAGAACAAAGTTTAAATACGGGATACAGCTGTTTCTGCTGCTAAAATAATCTTGATGTAAGCTCAGACTATCATACTATCCGTTTAGTAATCGGTCATAGTTCACATAGGTTAGGGGCGCCTTGATGTTACCCCTCTCTCAAACATTTACAGCTTTTCGATTGGCCTTGTGGCACTTCTCTGAGAAAAAAATTAAGATAAACACTGAGCATCTACAATAGTGACAGTATGCAATGCTACAATTATAGTTTCAAAAAAAAATATGTTTGGCCTATAAACCATTGTCTAATGTGATTTAGGTGCTGCACTTTCTCCAGCTGCTATTAACTAGTCTTTCTGCTTTCAGTGAAGTCGTGAAAGCGCTTTCAGTTTAGTATAATTCAGCAGGCTGGGGTACCGTTCACTTACCTCGAGCCACTCACTTGTAGTGAGTTCGGGTCCCGTCCATTGGTCAACCTGGCTTAACAACACGTACCGAATTTCCGTGTCTGCCCGGAGTTCGAAAGTCGGGGACACCATAGCCGACAAAACACGGTTGTCCACCGCAAGAATCTGCGTGGCATGGAATTCAATGAACACAAGCATTGGTCGTTGAGCTACAGTGAGTGCTTTGCCACTATTCGCGCATAAGCTCCTAAGCTACAAAGCACTAAAAGTTGCCTATTAGCTCATTGTTAACAACTTTATTGTTATTAGCTCATTAAAGCTGAAAAATTGAGATTCTACTGCCAGAAACTGGAAGACTCGCTCTTTTATTGATTGCCTCAGGTTTGTCATAGATATGTGTCATCTATAAGGTGATGCTATCAAACTAATTTCTCTTTTGCTGTCAGAAAATGTTCCATGTTCAGAACTTTTCGATTAAATATATTGACGCAAAAATTATTTTACAACGGCATTATGAAACAGGTGCCAAAGAAAGATAACTATATTTGAAGAAAGCACGAACATAAACATAATGATAAAGGTAATGAATGTAGTCGAGTTATGCAATTACCATGATGAAATAGGCAATCGCTTGCTGTAGTATTTGCATTTTAAATAAGCTAGACTGTGTAATATAATGACGTAATTGCGACGACATTGCTGGCAATTAAGTGAGTTGAGCTTACATCTTGGACTGTGTTCCTGTCGACGGTGACCCCGGAAAGAAGGACGGAGACTCTGTCGAAGTAGGCGAGCAGTGTTCCTTGTTCCTGCAGAGTGTCCCGGACAGCGATCCATTCGGTCACGTGCGGACTAGAACCTAGGTGCAAGGCACGGAACCCCGGACGCCGAAAGTTCGCGTCCACCGTAAGCTGGAACAATATCGGCATGCCCCAGTCCAGGGAAAAGCCTACCAGAAGGTCCAGCACCTTTTCTTTCGTCCTACGGTGGTCGATAGTTTAGACATGCGAGATCACAAGATAAGATGGTCACCATTTAGAAATGAAGATAGAATAAACTGTTTTGTACTACGAATGAATGAAAGCAAAAACTCCTCACAAGACACAGCTACCACAATGTTTTGTACACGATGAAAGCCACACAATGATTTCCCTAATTTGAAAGCCTACTCAGAATCTCATTCGCATATGGTATTCTATTCATTTCCTAGCTGCTTTTAGTATATTTTTTCTGTTGAGGCTAATCCCGTAGAACTCTTAATATTGTGTAGCAAACTTATTCAGGTGTAACGTAAGTTATGAACTGAACATCTGGCGTTGGCATCTCAATAGACCATTTTATGGGCAAATAAGCCAGCACGACAGGTTCAACTCTAGTTGACACTTAGTACTCATTAAGCTGTTTACAGCTAAGTATATCGAGGGAATGACATTTAGGTGTGGAAAATAATTTTCACACACAGACAGCACTACATGCGCCAAGTAGACACGTAACGTCAGAGTTCTTCGGAATACTTTGAAATTAATCATCGAAAGAGCTCAGCAGAAAGGCAAAGTAAAGATCAAAAGATGTACATGTGCACCATGCTGTGGCGGGGCACCAGACAGGTCACTTGAGAAGATAACGTATCTATCGTGGTAAATCTCGTATAGCTGCGCAGCACAATTTGAAGAAGTACGCTGCGTGTGTCTTATGCTAATGTTTAGTTTATGTTCATTGTGAGGGTCACCCGCACACCTAATTATACTCGACTAATTAGCTCAACTGGGTGTCCTGGCGTACTACCTGGCTCCTGCAGTCATGCCATCTATTGCGGTGCACTTCCTGGAGCAGTTTTACGAAAACAAAACTTCCCCTCACTTTCAGGGCCATGCAGTCACGCCCTTTGGGCATGCATAGTATAGTAAGATGTTGTACCTAGGCTTGGACGTTGGCCACGACAGGTTGAAGTGTGCCATAAACTGTCGCAATTCGTCAATGTGGTCCTGCTCATTAAAGGCCACCTGGGCGCAACGTTGAAATATGTGGGCAATTTTGTGCGCTGGACTCGGTCCACGGCTTTCTTCCAAGACGAGACTGACGACAGCGGCGAAGGCCACGCGGCGTTGAAGACTCTGCACGTAGTCGCACGAAAGTCAAGATAACCAACAATGAGCGTTCACACATAATTATCTCGACACCACTGCGAAACAAATGAAACATCTGGTTTTGTGATAGTGTTCGCTGCATACTAAAAGACTAAAAGCAGCAGCCTTGAAGTTGGGCGAGAAAGCGAAGAAAGAGACATAATTCTGGAGGAAGATTGTAGTTTAACCACCGCTTTACTACTGGGCGAGCGAGTATAGTTTGAACTCTGTATTGTTAATGTTCCATCTTTTGCGTGATATACTGTCTTTAACCCAGAATATCGGTGACACTCAGTGGCCCATAAAGAACACCAGTTGATGTTCTTAAAAGTATACAAAAAAACCTCGCAGTCCTTTATGCCCTTGCTAAGGCAGAATACATCTTTTTCTCCTCAGTCGATGTATTGAACCATTCCTCTCCCTCCGAAGGCTTTCTACATTACACGTGGTCTTGTACTTCATCCATAATTCGAGGGATTGCGAGTCCTCTGCGCTTCACCTGATTTCACACTACCTCCGTAGCCACCAATGAACAAACGACGTCACCATGTGACGTCACGCTATGTGACATCACAGTGACGTCATGATTGTGTAATATCTTAGTGTTATATTGACGTCCCCGAATGTCCTCGACGACACCGGTCAATTTTCGCGTTCACTGTGGCAACCAAAGCTTTCGCCTTAATAATGCGGAAACGCAACGTGGAAGGCTTCGCGTACCTCGAAGTGGTTTCCCGCGTCTGGGTTCGCCTGCAGCCACCCTGAGCACACGTAGCCGTAGAAGTCCTGGCACGGGTCCACGCGGACGCCCTCCAGCGAGCGGGCGATATCCGCGCCCGGGTCCTGGCAGTCGGGATACGCGCAGCCCATGGCGAAACGGCGTAACATCTGGGGCACGCCGAACGTCACCGCCAGCGTGGACAGCGTCACGGCCGAGACGAACAAGCAGTACTGACGCCAGGACCGGGGCTTGTAGGCGTCGTCATAGTCGCAGGCACTGCACGCGTCCATGTAGCGTGCGTCAAATGGTTGTCCCACCTGGGGACCTTCTACTAAACGAGTCATTGAATCCGGCCTCGTACACTTGTTATCGTCAGCAGCCATCTTGAGCTTCTTCTTCTTCACCCATTGCCTGCTTTCTAGGCTGCCTTTGCCCTGACACTTGGCTTCTACCCTCTACGGAGTAGATTAACATAGTGCTCTATATCTTTATTTAGTAGGAGAATAAGCAATAAATCAGTAGCCTATGAGTTAAACGAGAACTGAGGAATGAATGGTTTGTACAGCTATAAACACAGGCAATAATGTAATAAAATTTTGCTGTGGTTAACGCCCACTGCTGGGTACT